AGCCATAGATTTCATCTGCTATGGGGTGCCAGTCATACCCCATCTCCACAGATATGAGATTAGGAAGATGGATTTTGAAAAATGACCTTCCATCTTTGGGTTTGCAGAATTTCTTGTTCCTACTTCTATTAACTCAGAAAAGATACAGGAGCTAAAAAAGTATTTGAGTACTCTATTTCAGCTTCAAAGATTTTCTTGTAAATTCTTCCTCCTTAGGGGAGACCCCATCTCTACAACAATAATAATAATATTAAATAAAAATAATTTAGCCAAGCATGGTGGTGCACACCTGTGGTCCCAGCTACTAGGAAGGCTGAAATGGGAGGATCTCTTTAGCCTGGGAGGTTGAAGCTACAATGAGCCATGATTATGCCACTGCACTCCAGCCTGAGCATCAGAGCAAGACTCTGTCTCGATAAAAAAGTCAACTAAAAAAAACAAAAAACCTCTCATTCTTATAGTAATATAAAGATGGAGTTATGTGACGATTAAGCAAGACGAGAAGTTTGAGTACATAGGAAAGTAGCAGCCTGACCTAGAAAGAGTTAATAAGAGTACTCCCCATTTGCAAACTCTAAAGAGTTGTCTTGCTAACCAAAATTGATCTTGGCTATGTCATGGTGTTCTATAACAATACAAAGTCATCTTTTTCTCCTAATTTCTTAAACCAGAACATCATGTCTTTATGAAAGAATTTCTGCAACAAATATTGGCAGCGGCGTGACGCTAAATGTTAACAATCGGCTCTTCAGGAATAAAAGCTCTAGCGTGTAACATTCACTGGTCTCTATGGTGTGAATGCTCCTACCATATTTGATTTCAAACAATCAAAGGACACTGCTGAAAGCAAAGCTGGGAGGATCTGCACAGAATTAGTTCTGATGAACCAATATAAGCTGTCCCCAACATTGTCACTGTACAAGCCACCTCTTAGGCCACCAGTGAGGCATTTCTCAAGCCAAGTTTCTGATGGCAATGCTGCCCTCAGAGCTGGGAAGGCAGTGGGGAGAAGAAACTGAGACTGGATTCTCCAGGTGGTGTCAAAACCATATCCAGCCAGCACAGACTACTTTGATTTGTATCATGAATAGGTTTTGAGGCTTGCTGTTATGTCAGCTGCTTTTCCCAGACATGGCCAGTCAAAAAGAGCAATCAGGAAATGTGGATAATGATAAAAGCAATATTGAAAACAGTTCCAGGAGATTCTCTGAGGCTTTCAGGGGCCTCATTTCCTCACAGAGTCCCAAAAAGCTCATGTCACCCTCCTGTGGGGACATTAAAATTCTCCTTCCCAGTCATCAGTGTCATTATCTGCACTGCCCTCTGTTGGCTTCCATAACTGCCATAATCTGGTGATGACTGACTCCTGACCACCTTCTCTTCAAATATCTTATTGTGGCTGAAGCTTTTCTCAGTACGGTGTGAGGAGAAGCCTCACTGAATCATAGGCACAACTGTTATTGACTCCACTTTTCTGGAAGAATTTGGGACAAACTCCCTCATACTGAATGGGAAGACAGTTGAGCAGCACAACTTAGAATCAAGTTGGCTTTGACTCACATTGTCCCTTGCTGCAGGGAGCTCTAGGGTGTCAGAGTTTCCTTCTCACTCAGATGATCCCTTGACACTGAAATCTAGTGATGTGGGGTGATTCCTGGATTCTTGATCCTGGAAAGGAGTAACCAGCCATCTCAAGACTTCTATTTCCATTTTGTCCTGGGTACCCGTTTCACTCTGATGTTAGCAAAACTCCTAGTGTCTGCCCCAAGGGATGGTTCAGATTAGCATGGTTCCTTTCTTTCCTCTCCATGATGTATTTGCACTGGAGATTAGATCTATCGTCCACTTTTCTCATCTACATTGACTTGACCTTGCCTCTTAGCAGAGAAGCAGATGCTTCTTTGTCTGAGGGTGACATTAAGAGACTGGGAAAGTGTCACTGCAGAAAGGCTCTGGAAGGGTGCCAATCTGGAAGAACTTCAGAGTCAGCTCCTGGCTGCTTTAACCAATGAGGCAAGGTTTCCAGGGATCGCCCCACATAGAAGCTCTTTTCCTTTGTCAGCAGTGATAGGAATAGGCCTTGCCTTCCTCATCCTCCTACCAAGAATCTACTGCACAGTATTGTGGAGGCAACACAAAGATGGAGTGTGTAATAGTGCTGTGTAAACTACAGAGAGCTCAAAATATGTTGTTTATTGGAATGATGATCCCTCAGACAAAGTTAATTGCATAACCCATTTCTTCCTCTTAAGCTTTGTACACTCTCCTATTCTGGTACTTAATATGCAGTGAGTGTGTGTGTGTCTCCACTAGATGATTTGGGGTTAGAGTCCCATCCTATTTTTCTCCTTCCCCAACACCAGTGCAGAGGTTGGCATCCAGGATCCCAGTTCTTCAAATGGATCAACTGAAGCCCAAGAAAGTTCAAAGAGTTAACAAGTTACAGATACAGGATTTGAATTCACATCTTTTGATTCCAACTGCAGTGACCACACCATGCTGACATGTGATAGATGCTTTAAAAAGTGCCTAATGAATATATTTGTAAATAAACCCACCTCTTCTTTAACCCTTGCCTTAGGAAATCTGCTCTAGTATTGCATGTTGAAAGAGCAATCAGGAATTGTGGGTAATAATAAAAATAACATTCAGAACAGTTCCAGGAGATCCTATCTTCACATCATTAGACAATTACTCAATATTTCAAATAAATTAACCAGCTGGTTCACATATGAAGTGGTGTAGAGGCTGAACAAGGATATTGCAGGACCTTGAAGTTGTAGGAAAAAGTAGCAGGATGTGGCACAAAACCAGGAGTAGACTTGGTGGCCATCTGAGGGCAGAAGCACTTGCTATAAGACAAGGTTTATCTCATCTAAAGAATAATGCACATCAGTGGCCGTTGCAAGGTTTCACTCATGAAACCCCCTAAAGGAATATTTTAATATCATCTACTCCCTTGCACATGTTTTTTCGAAATGACATCTAAAACTCTTATAGGCTTAAATAGAAGTTAGTTGCAAGACTTATCTAATTTTCTGTATATTGTACACATATTTTAAGTATTGTTTGGCTAATACTTTGAACAGCAGAATCAATGTATTAAATTTACAGAAAATATCCACTGCAGATGCTAATTAGCCAAACCAACTTCATCATCAAATCAGGCAGTGCAATCAGAATTGTTATTTAATAAAAAAAAAAAACCTGCATTTTTTATTTCCAGTAAAGGCGTTCATACATATACCCTGTCCCCATGATAACTTTTTCACTCCTCAGCTGTAATTCCAATAGAGTCAGAGACAAGGCACAGAGCCCTTGGCATGCGTTTGAAAGCTGGACGAAATGAGACACGGTTTGCTTCTTTTTGCTTTGCTCTTACGGAACCCTTCCTCTGGAGCAATGTGTACAGAAATGGTCCATTTGTGTGACACCAGAAGATCCCTATACACCTTGGGACTGCCCCCCAGTGAGACCCCAAGTGGGTGAGACGTTTGCCTTTATTTTCTGAAGTAGAACTCAGGTGAATTATTGGGCAAAAAAAAAAAAAAAAAAAAAAGTTTGGAAAAGAGTTAAAACGGAAGTTGAAAACCTGGACACTGATTCCCTTCAATGCTGGCTATGCCTGGGGGGCCCCTGAAACTCTTCAGCACCTTCACCTCTACCACCATGCACAATGCTCTCCAGATCCTGCTCTCATGCCCCCATTGCCCTGTTTCCAGGACTCAGTAGTCCTCAGTCTGGCTTCATTGACCACCACTGATGCACCTGCCTAAGATTTTACCTGATTGCCAGTCCTCAGCTTTCAGAGCCCAGACTCCAAATTCCTGGTTCTTACCACCTTTCCTTCACCCTGGCAACACTTAGGGAGAACGATTTTAAAGAGATTTGTACAAAAGTATTAATGACTAATAGCCTGCCCAAGTTTTAAGGTACTGTTTGTATCTTTCTAAAGAAACTTGTTTATCAAAGGAGTCTCCCATTGGTTGGAAATCCAGGCTAATATAAGAGAAGCTGTGGACACTGGGGAGAAAATATTCTAGTTTATTCCAAGACAGTTGAAGACCATCTTGATCACTGTGCTGGGAAGCAGTCACTTGTTTGATAGAATCTAAGCCTGACAAGCAATGTCCCATATTTTAAATCTGCAGGGTACGCTATTTCCTATAACTGGGAAAAAGATTCCTATGTCCTGTAGTCAATTGGTGGTTGATACTGCAGTACCAAGATTGAGATAGAATGAGATCCAGACAAACTTTACTTAAGTCCCTGTATCCTTGGAAATTCTAACAAATCCAAGTCTTTGAGAGTAGTTCTAGTCTACTCTAAGTCTCAGAAATTTTTTAATTCATGGAATAGAGAAAGACATTCAAAGTGATGGGAAAGACTAGCAATTTAATCTCAGAGACTCATTAAAAGAGCCGGAAATCTGAAGGTTATTTCAGGGCACATTGCATACACCTGAGACTGAATTTGCCCGGTTGTAAGAAATAAAATGGTCATATTCAAGATGAAGTTTCTCTCACTCAGGCATATGGCCAATTTGGAGAAGTTTGTTCTCTAAGTCTAAGGATTTGATTCTTGCCTTCCAAAATGGGGTAGGGAGATGGATTTATGCCACTTAGCTTCACCAGTTCAGCAAATAACTCTTCAAATGAAATCCATATCTCTGAATGTAAATATGAAGATTCACAGAACAAATAGCAAGAATATATCATTTGAATTGGACGGTGACCATGACATTCAAATGACCTAACCACACAGCACTGGAATCCAGATAGAATTAAAGAAAATCTGCCATTGCAATCGGAAACATAAATGAATATGAGGAAACTACCCTCCCACTCCCCTGCACCCAATTATTTTCATGATAAACAGCAGGTTAATAAACATCTGTTCCTTCTCAGTGTCCAAGGGATCTTGTTTGCAAACATCAACAACCATTGCTTTGTTCTCTCAGGAGAAAACAAAACACTATCAATCAAAGCAAAGTTACATACCCAGACCTGCTGCGGCAGCTGCTTGTTCAAAACCGCATGTCATTCCCCTGCAAGCCAGAGTGCCGGGACGCTTTGGTATCCTCTGCCCCTGCTCTTCTGAGCAGTGCTGCAGGTTAACTCTTGGAGGCTGGACGCTCTAACCAGGGAAGCCAAGGCTCGCCAACTTAACTACTTACGTGCTGACTCATGCGCAGGACAGGACACACCTCTGCTGAGCCTGCTGATGGACAAACCCCTGCACCATCCTTGGAAGGTCACAGCTAGAGTTCATCATTTTGCACCCTGAACAAATCTAACCTAGGAGATAGTCATTCTAAGACTGACCTGCTTGTCCTATTTGGTTTGGAAAATAAGTATTTAGTTCTTTCTCTACCCTATCAACTACATACCACTGAGAAGAGACTTTATGGGACAAATCAGCACAGAGATGTAAGTTAAGACCACTTTGGATGAATGAGTTAAGCTCTGGGAGAGAGATGTCCCCACTTTTCTAGAGAAATTACAACTATCTGGAGGAAACTGACTGCACATAGTCACCTTGGTAGTTTGAGGAAGCAAATGAGACAGTGTTGACATTTTCCCTGTTGTCTTTTCCAAGCAAAAGCAAGAGCCAACATTCTGCAGTATTGCCTTCATTTTATTCTACCTGGAAGTTAGTAGGGTTCTCAGGGAAAAAGTTCATTCTTCTAACCGTTTGGGCTCAGATTAGCAGGTATGCAAGGCAGGGAAAAGAAAGCAGAAGCTTTTAATCTTTGATTAGATCTTTGAAATTTGCTTCATTCTACCTGTGCCAACATGCAAGAGGCTCAGAAGCCTAGAATTCCTAAAGAAAATTGGTGCTGTTTTTCCAGTTATTGATGGATGATTTAGAAGAGTACTATTGAGGCAAAAAAAATGCCTCCCATCCTAGAGCAAATATAGTTTTCTTTAGGCTATGACAGAGTTCACTGTGGGACTTGCATGGAAGCAGAAGCCGGGTGCAAGAGAGACAGGAGTGGTACGAGTGTTTGTTAAAAAACAGGAATTGTTTGACAGCAAGCGTGAGGTAGACATGCAGCACTTGTGGGCTTTGGGGTGATTGAATTACTGCACAAGCTCTTGCCTCTTCCCACTGACTGGAGCTGCAGTATTGCCAGCTGATCTTCATTAGCTGCTAATTGGGCTCGAAGGCACTGGGCATCCTTTACCTAAAGGTCAAGCAGCTACAGAAAAGGAAGTGAAAATTCACCTGTGCACAGAACGAGGCTTGTAAACTGAATGTGTAATAATGGTAACAGTGATAACCAAAGAAGCTGCTACAATGTTGAACAAATTGGCTGCTTTACTTACATTCTGTAGCAAGGACTGTTAGCTCTTCAACAAAATCTGTGTTTCCTTCACCTTCCCAGCCTGCCCTGCAGTCAGGATAGCCGTACAACTGAGATCTGGACGATGGAAAGTGAGGAAAATTGAAATGCACTAATTTCATTCTTTGTCTACACAATCTTCCCTACGTGTGATCCTCCACGTTCCAGGCTCCAGGCACAGGCTTGAAGGGAGAGATCCACTATGACCTTGAAGATAAGGGAGGGAAGAAAGTGAAAAGCCTCCATCCGAATGAATAACCACATAGAGGAGAGCTGCTGACCTTTGCAATTACTTTTAACTTACAGGGGAAAATGGATGCCAATCTAAAAATGTGTTTTTCAAAATTAGTTTAGGGCCATGCAAGCAAAACAGTTTAGAGACCACTAATCTATAAGGACCAGAATCTTTAACCAGGATCCTTAACATCTTGTTTCATTTTGCATTGCTATAAAGGAATGCCTGAGAGGCTGGGTGATTTACAAAGAAAAGAGGTTCATTTAGCTCAAGGTCCTGCAGGCTTTACATGAAGCAAGGTGCTAGCATCTGCTCTTGATGAGGCCTCGGGAAGCTTCCAATCATGGCAGAAAAGGAAGCAGAGCTAATGTGTCACATGATGAGAGAGGGAGCAAGAGACAGAGAAGTAAAGGATGTCATGCCCTTTTAAACAACCGTGTTAATAGAGCAAAAACTCACCCATTACCATGGAAGGCACCGAGCTATTCATGAGGAATCTGCCCCATGAATTAGTCACCTCCCACCAGGCCTCACCTCCAACAATGGGGATCAAATTTCAACATGAGATTTTGAGAGGACAAACATCCAAACCGTATCACCAGGTATTCATATTCACCCTAATCCATCCAAACCTTTGGCTTCATATTTGACTCCGACATCTCTTCTGATCGTAAAGATCATCTCTTCTGATCAAACCATAAAGATTCTTATTTTCTTTTTTTCTCCCCTGCTGTCTCACCCTGACTGTAGTTAAGTGGCACAATCGGAACTCACTGTAACCTCGAACTCTGGGACTTAAGCCATCCTCCTGCCCCAACCTCCCAATCTTTATGGTTCTTGAATGTATCTGTACTTTCCTGTCTCTGCTCTAACTTTCATTCTCCCCTTAAACACTTTGCTAACAACCCCCATCTTAACTGAATCTTAAGTCTGAAAACACAGCTGCAAATCCTTTGACCCCCATCTACCGAGAGGTGGGGATCTGTGTCCTCTCCACTTTATTGTGAACAGGTTTGTGACTATCAATAGAGAAGGTGAAAATGATGTTATGTGACTCTTGAGGCTGGGTCACATACGGCCTTGCAGCTTCCTCTGTTTCCTGGAAAATTTAGTATTAGAGCCCTTCACCACCTAGGAACTCTAGAAATTCTGAAGCTCCCACGCTGGAGAGACCACATAGCTTTGGTCACTCTTCAAGCTATGCTTCTCCTTCCATCATCCTCAATAAGGTACCAGATATGTGAATGAAGCAGCCATAGACCTTTCCAAACTGGTCCATCCACCAGCTGAATACCATGGAGTGAGCTCATCAATACTACATTAAGTGTCACTCAGCTGAGCTCTGCTCAGATTCCTGACCTACAAAGCCATGAGCTATAATAAAAGGATTACTGTTTTAAGCCACTGTGTTTGAGGGAGTTTGTTTATAGTAAGAGATAACTAGAACACCCTCCTTTAGGACCCAAGACAAGGGTTCATGTTTTGCAGGAAGCATTTTCTGACCACTCTCTGAGTTTTCCCATCCTTTTAAATTCTGGTCTTGAATGAATTTTTTTATTATAAGGAGTTGTCCTATTCCACCTGAAGTCCAGCTCCTTTTATTCACTGTATGTGTCTGTAGCACCTTATGTATCAGGCCTTTGATGAACATTTGTTGAGTAATAGGAACGATATTCATATAACATGAGGCGTATCTGTAACTGTAAGACAATGAGGCAGAGGCTGGAATAAGGCAGTGCTACTCGCTGGTTTTTCTCTTTCTGGGCAACAGAATCTTGACTTTGATGGGCAGGTAGTATTAATCCAATCTGGTATTTATTCATGTGTTTACTAAGTGCCTACTATTTGCCAGGTAGTTTTTAGGCCACAGTGATAGAGTAATGAACAAAACAATATCCTTTTCATGGTGCTTCCATTCTAAAAGAAGGAAGTTAAACAAAAAATAAAATGAAGTATAATCTGGTATGTTATAAGTGCTAAGAAGAAGAAAGCAAGACAACAGATAGAAGAGTTTAATGTAGCATAATTGGAGGTCCTCCTTATAAGGTGATATCTTAATAGACACCTGAAGGAAGTGGGAAGAGAGTGGTAAGTCTTGGTTCTGCCTGAAGAAAAAGCATTCCAGGAAAAAGGAATGGCAAGCATTAAGGTCCCCAGAGAAGACTGATGGACTGAAGGGACAGAAAATGGCTAGAGTGACTTGACAGAGAGAAGAACAAGAAGGAGCAGTAGGGCATGGGGTCAAAATGCACAAGGTGGAGGCGCAGGGGATGGAAGTCTGGAAAGGCCTTAAAGAGCAACGTGAGGACTAGATTTTCTACCAATGAGATGGAAAGTCTTTGGAGATGTTCAAGCATGACAGTAGAATAATCTGGCTTTTAGGAAACGTATTCTGTTAGCTATCACCTAGACTCTATGCAGATCACACAGTGCAAAGAGTCGAGGTTAGAAGCAATAAGGCTGATTTGGGAGCATTTGCAATACCTAAACAAGAGACCTAGACTAGAGGGCTAGAAGTGGAGATGATGTGAAGTGTCACACTATGCATACGTTTTGAAAGATTTCCTGTTGGTTTTAAAATAAAAGAGAGAAATAGGGATCAATAATTATTCTAAAGTTTTTGGATTCTAGTACTGACAATCATTGACATTTTCTGACAGGGAGAAGAGTGTGACAGAAGTAAGTTTGGACAAAGAGAATCAAGCCTTGGGTGTCTGCAAAATGGGACTTTTAACTTAAGACCTTATAATAATTACTTACTAAAATGGGTTGACAGTAATCTAATATCTGTAAGGACCATAATAGACAAAGGTATTTCCCAAAAGGTGATAGGTTTTACATAGTACAGAGTAGACATTTTTTAATTATTACATATTGATTTCACTGTGAATTAGAAATATAAAATATATACAGTAAGGCTAAAGCAATTTTTAATGAAGTCATTTAAATAAAAACATTAATTAATAGTACAAATGATAAATAGTTATAGGGAAAACTCATGTTAGCTGTACACCAATAAATAAATTTTGGGAAATATTGATATATAATTTAATATCCAATTAATTCAAATATCTGTAAAGATCAGTCTCTGCCACTGAATCTTTTCTGATCTACTCCAAATTCTTACTCATCTTCCTTTGGCTAATTGCTGTCTATTACCCCCCATCACCACCATATTTTTTTTCACATGAGGACTTCTCAGGGGTAGTGTGTCCTACACCAAAAGCCAAAAATAGCATGTGTAGATTATTCTCACTCCAGGTTTACATATGATTGCTCCAAGTTTGCTCTAACTGGAGTTCTTAGTAATTTGATTGATTCTTAGAGAAGAATTTTCTTTCCTCCAATAAATGCTGCACATGACCAGTTGCTGCCTTAACCTCTCCTTAGACAGCTAAAGGCTGCAGGCAGCTCTGTCTTCAAACTTCAGCAAGTGGCTCCATTCAGGTCTGCATGTGGCTCCGGTGCTGCCAGTAATTTTCGGTCTTTCAGATGATCGTGTTTGGTGGGAAGAATCACTTCCTGCTTAGAGTGGAAACAAGAAAGAAATTACCCCATGA